AGGAGGAGGATGATGATAGCGATGATGAAATGTCAGGACACAATGAGGAGGAGGAGGATGATAGCGATGATGAAATGTCAGGACACAATGAGGAGGAGGAGGATGATAGCGATGATGAAATGTCATGACACAATGAGGAGGGGGAGGATGATAGCGATGATGAAATGTCAGGACACTATGAGGAGGAGGATGATAGCGATGATGAAATGTCATGACACAATGAGGAGGAGGAGGATGATAGCGATGATGAAATGTCAGGACACAATGAGGAGGAGGATGATAGTGATGATGAAATGTCATGACACAATGAGGAGGAGGATGATGATAGTGATGATGAAATGTCATGACACAATGAGGAGGAGGATGATAGTGATGATGAAATGTCATGACACAATGAGGAGGAGGAGGATGATAGCGATGATGAAATGTCAGGACACAATGAGGAGGAGGATGATAGCGATGATGAAATGTCAGGACACAATGAGGAGGAGGAGGATGATAGCGATGATAAAATGTCAGGACACAATGAGGAGGAGGAGGATGATAGTGATGATGAAATGTCATGACACAATGAGGAGGAGGATGATAGCGATGATGAAATGTCAGGACACTATGAGGAGGAGGAGGATGATAGCGATGATGAAATGTCAGGACACTATGAGGAGGAGGAAGATGATAGCGATGATAAAATGTCAGGACACAATGAGGAGGAGGATGATAGTGATGATGAAATGTCAGGACACAATGAGGAGGAGGATGATAGTGATGATGAAATGTCAGGACACAATGAGGAGGAGGATGATAGTGATGATGAAATGTCAGGACACAATGAGGAGGAGGAGGATGATAGCGATGATGAAATGTCAGGACACAATGAGGAGGAGGAGGATGATAGTGATGATGAAATGTCAGGACACAATGAGGAGGAGGATGATAGTGATGATGAAATGTCATGACACAATGAGGAGGAGGATGATGATAGTGATGATGAAATGTCAGGACACAATGAGGAGGAGGATGATAGTGATGATGAAATGTCAGGACACAATGAGGAGGAGGAGGATGATAGCGATGATGAAATGTCAGGACACAATGAGGAGGAGGAGGATGATAGCGATGATAAAATGTCAGGACACAATGAGGAGGAGGAGGATGATAGCGATGATAAAATGTCAGGACACAATGAGGAGGAGGAGGATGATAGTGATGATGAAATGTCAGGACACAATGAGGAGGAGGATGATAGTGATGATGAAATGTCAGGACACAATGAGGAGGAGGATGATAGTGATGATGAAATGTCAGGACACAATGAGGAGGAGGATGATAGTGATGATGAAATGTCAGGACACAATGAGGAGGAGGATGATAGTGATGATGAAATGTCAGGACACAATGAGGAGGAGGATGATAGCGATGATGAAATGTCAGGACACAATGAGGAGGAGGAGGATGATAGCGATGATGAAATGTCAGGACACTATGAGGAGGAGGATGATAGTGATGATGAAATGTCATGACACAATGAGGAGGAGGAGGATGATAGCGATGATGAAATGTCAGGACACTATGAGGAGGAGGAAGATGATAGCGATGATGAAATGTCAGGACACAATGAGGAGGAGGAGGATGATAGCGATGATGAAATGTCATGACACAATGAGGAGGATGATGATGATAGTGATGATGAAATGTCAGGACACAATGAGGAGGAGGAGGATGATAGCGATGATGAAATGTCATGACACAATGAGGAGGAGGAGGATGATAGCGATGATGAAATGTCAGGACACTATGAGGAGGAGGAGGAGGAGGATGATAGCGATGATGAAATGTCAGGACACAATGAGGAGGAGGATAATAGCGATGATGAAATGTCAGGACACAATGAGGAGGAGGAGGATGATAGCGATGATGAAATGTCAGGACACAATGAGGAGGAGGAGGATGATAGCGATGATGAAATGTCAGGACACAATGAGGAGGAGGAGGATGATAGCGATGATGAAATGTCAGGACACAATGAGGAGGAGGAGGAGGATAGTGATGATGAAATGTCAGGACACAATGAGGAGGAGGAGGATGATAGCGATGATGAAATGTCAGGACACAATGAGGAGGAGGAGGATGATAGCGATGATGAAATGTCAGGACACAATGAGGAGGAGGAGGATGATAGCGATGATGAAATGTCATGACACAATGAGGAGGGGGAGGATGATAGCGATGATGAAATGTCAGGACACTATGAGGAGGAGGATGATAGCGATGATGAAATGTCAGGACACAATGAGGAGGAGGAGGATGATAGCGATGATGAAATGTCATGACACAATGAGGAGGAGGAGGATGATAGCGATGATGAAATGTCAGGACACAATGAGGAGGAGGAGGATGATAGTGATGATGAAATGTCAGGACACAATGAGGAGGAGGAGGATGATAGCGATGATGAAATGTCATGACACAATGAGGAGGAGGAGGATAGTGATGATTAAATGTCATGATACAACGAGGAGGAGGATGATAGCGATGATGAAATGTCATGACACAATGAGGAGGAGGAGGATAGTGATGATTAAATGTCATGATACAACGAGGAGGAGGATGATAGCGATGATGAAATGTCAGGACACAATGAGGAGGAGGAGGATGATAGTGATGATGAAATGTCAGGACACAATGAGGAGGAGGAGGATGATAGCGATGATGAAATGTCATGACACAATGAGGAGACGGATGATGATAGCGATGATGAAATGTCAGGACACAATGAGGAGGAGGAGGATGATAGCGATGATGAAATGTCATGACACAGTGAGGAGGAGGATGATGATAGCGATGATGAAATGTCAGGACACTATGAGGAGGAGGATGATGATAGCGATGATGAAATGTCAGGACACAATGAGGAGGAGGAGGATGATAGCGATGATGAAATGTCATGACACAATGAGGAGGAGGAGGATGATAGCGATGATGAAATGTCAGGACACAATGAGGAGGAGGATGATAGTGATGATTAAATGTCATGATACAACGAGGAGGAGGATGATAGCGATGATGAAATGTCAGGACACAATGAGGAGGATGATGAAAGCGATTGATTAGGATGATGGTGATGATTAAATGTCAGGACACAATGAGGAGACGGATGATGATAGCGATGATGAGATGTCAGGACACTATGAGGAGAAGGATGATGATAGCGATGATGAAATGTCAGGACACTATGAGGAGAAGGATGATGATAGCAATGATGAAATGTCAGGACACTATGAGGAGAAGGATGATGATAGCGATGATGAAATGTCAGGACACTATGAGGAGGAGGATGGAGATGATTAAATGTCAGGATACAATGAGAATGTAACCTGTCAAGAATGTAACGTTTATATCAAGTGTGGCGATTTTAGGTAGCCATTGACAGTATACCTGCTGGTGCATGTTCGTGTCAATCAATTCCCACATCGCCCAATCGCCAAGCACAGCTGTCACATAGCTTTATAATGTAAACACATACTTTAACGATTATTTCTCTGTACTGCTAAGAAATAAATCTTGTCATGCACAGCTGACAATGAAAGAACGTCTTTGAATATTCAAGGGCTTTTACCCTGGCTGAAAATATAAATAAAAGGAAGTACTGATTGTGTAGCTCTCTGTGTCGTACAGACCTGTGTATTGAGCCAGCGCAGTTCGCCCTGCAGGGATCACATAGCCTTGCTCCAAGGCTGTACTGAAAGAAAAGTCCATGGATGTGTAGGAATTCCATCCTCCAAATAGGCAAGTCTATGTATGTAGACAGTAAGGACTCCAGTCTCTTAAAGGGACAACTAACAACTTTATATTATCTAGAACGCATGATTTAAACTAATAAGTATTGCCTTAGAGACTTGTGCAAGTCTAGGGATCTCTGTACTGTATTAGGAATAGTGGAGGCCATTATGTTCGATAAGGGAAACGGCTTGCTCTGTGGTGTTGAGTACATACTGGGATTAATATTCAATATTTTCATTATACTTTATGGATCCAGAGACATATATGTACCACACCTGCAGGTGTGCCTGGGTCTTACATGTAAACATCTGTGATCAGGTGTGGGGTAACATATGTTTCAGATGGGCAACACACTATGTTTCTGGAATCATCAAGATGGGGATATAGATCTCTTCATGTAACATGGATTTGAAAGATGTTTGAATGAGATTTAATGTAAATGGTTGGTTGGTTGGTTGGTTTGTTGTTTAACGCCGCACTCAGCAATATTCCAGCTATATGACAGCTGTCTGTAAATAATCGAGTCTGGACCAGCCAATCCAGAGATTAATATCATGAGCATCGATCCACGCAATTTGGATCGATGACATGCATCAACCAAGTCAGCGAGCCTGACCACCCGATCCCGTCAGTCGCCTTTCACGGCAAGCATAGTCACCTTTTACGGCAAGTATGGGTTGCTGAAGACCTATTCTACCCTGACGTCTTCATGGGCCTATTGTAAATGGGGAAACATGAGTGTTGAAATAGAAATGTAGTGTTCTTTTTTCCAACTCTGATGCCGAAAGGATTCCATATAATACAGAGTAAGGCAAAAAGATGAACCATGTTAAACCACTAACGTAGTTTTGTTGTAGGGAATATATTTCACTCACTTGGTTTCAGATTGAATTTTAATTCACCAGATCAACTGGAAGTCAATTTTATTGGCTTTGTAAATCAAGAGGTGACAAATATCAATATTTGTGCTCCATTAGAAGCCTGGTGGTGTGTTGGCTGGGATATAACTGATTTCCTCTGAGGGGCGTGCTCTGAGAGTGGTCGCTGTTTCATTTCAGCAATGTGCGGATGTCAACAACTTCTTTTTGAGCACTGGACAAGATATTGCATCACTGTGGCGCTGCGATCTATCTCGGGGTGTCACAGAGCTCCGAATTATCACTTATTTGAAAGCACGCTCATGATTGGATCAATAATGTTTTTGTTTGTCTCTTTTTCAGAGGAGAGGGAATCTTCAGCCATGATGAAAGCTCTGTCACTTCGCTTCCAAAAATACTTCAATTTTGGCAAGATTGCGCAGCCATCTTCAGCAGGTCTGCGTGGACTGGGAATGGAGAGGTTTTCTAAGGACATTCCTACTCTGCTTGTTCTCATGGCAAATGGAGAAAATATGGAATCCCCACAATTCAATGCCATACCCTTTGATAAGAAAGCAATGGGAGAGCTGAATTATCCAAACATTTTAGCGTTTTTGTTTTCTGTTAATCGTGAGTTCCGTCACCTGATGCCGGGGGAGAATGGGTCTGATCGGAGAGAGACAGTGGAAATGGATGACATAGTAAAGATTGAATCGCTGAGGTTCGATGTCAAGGGCCTCCATCACTCCACGGAGAGCAAGAAGGTTCTTTATGAGGAAGTCAGTGAGCTGCACATGGAAGAAACCATCCAGAAAAGATTACCTGATGAATTATAGAGCAATATCTACATATGACAACAGCCATAATGTCTACATATTATGTTGTCTGATATATATCTACATGTGAAGTTAACAGACATAATGTCTACATGTGAAGTTAACAGCCATAATGTCTACATGATATTAACAGTCATAATGTCTACATGATGATGTTAACAGTCATTATATCTACATGATGTTAACAGTCGTAATGTCTACATGATGATGTTAACAGTCATTATATCTACATGATGATGTTAACAATCATTATATCTACATGTGAAGTTAACAGTCATAATGTCTACTTGATGATGTTAACAGTCATAATGTCTACATGATGATGTTAATAGTCATTATATCTACATGATGATGTTAACAGTCATTATATCTACATGATGTTAACAGTCGTAATGTCTACATGATGATGTTAACAGTCATAATGACTACATGATGTTAACAGTCGTAATGTCTACATGATGATGTTAACAGTCATTATATCTACATGATGATGTTAACAGTCATTATATCTACATGTGAAGTTAACAGTCATAATGTCTACTTGATGATGTTAACAGTCATTATATCTACATGTGAAGTAGACAGTCATAATATCTACATGATGATGTTAACTGTCATTATATCTACATGATGATGTTAACAGTCATTATGTCTACATGATGATGTTAACAGTCATAATGTCTACAGGATGATGTTAACAGTCATTATATCTACATGGTGTTAACAGTCATAATGTCTACATGATGATGTTAACAGTCATAATATCTACATGATGTTAACAGTCATTATATCTACATGATGATGTTAACAGTCATTATATCTACATGATGATGTTAACAATCATTATATCTACATGTGAAGTTAACAGTCATAATGTCTACTTGATGATGTTAACAGTCATAATGTCTACATGATGATGTTAATAGTCATTATATCTACATGATGATGTTAACAGTCATTATATCTACATGTGAAGTTAACAGTCATAATGTGTACTTGATGATGTTAACAGTCATTATATCTATATGTGAAGTCAACAGTCATAATGTCTACATGGTGATGTTAACAGTCATTATATCTACATGTGAAGTTAACAAACATTATATCTACATGTGAAGTTAACAGCCATAATGTCTACATAATGTATGATGTTAGCCGTCATTATTGGTAGGTATGATGTTAACAGCCATGATATGTAGGTATGATGTTAACAGGCATTATATGTATGATGTTAACAGCCATTATATAGAGGTATGATGTTAATAGCCATTATATGTATGATGTTAACAGCCATAATATGTATGATGTAAACAGCCATTATATGTATGATGTAAACAGCCATTATAGGTATGATGTTAACGGCCATTATATGTAGGTATGATGTTAACAGCCATTATATGTATGATGTTAACAGCCATTATATAGAGGTATGATGTTAATAGCCATTATATGTATGATGTTAAAAGCCGTTATATGTATGATGTTAACAGCCATTATATGTAGGTGTGATGTTAACAGCCATTATATGTCGGTGTGATGTTAACGGTCATTATGTATGATGTTAACAGCCATCATATGTAGTTATGATGAAGATAAAGGACATATTGCCCTACAGATGAAAGAAATAAGTTGTTGGGCTCCCATTCCAAGAGTTATTGACATGATATTCCAATCTCATGAATTTGACCTCGGAAAATGTGAAATTTTAAAAGCAGTAAAAAGTGTCCATTTAAAATTTGATAAAAATGAAGTCGCAGCCAAATGCATAAGAAAACATTATCGTGAGACTGAATCTCTTTGTTCTAGCAATTCATTAATATTTATTGAATTAAACATGGAGCATACAAAGTTGAGCATTGCAAATCAAACTTTAATGTGCCATAAAGACATTGATCTGAAAAGAAGAAATCCCCAGGAGACCAATTACTACAAATATTTGTGCATAATTCACAAGTTCTATATGCTGAATGACTTGTGAACCTGTGACAGGGTTTAAGGTATTCTTCTGGGGAAGATCACAGCTATCTTTCAGCCGCCCAGCATATCAAAGGCACAAAAAACATATTATGATTTTCTATCTAGTGTCTTTATAAAATGACTCACCAGATATTGCCACAAAATCAATTTCTTTTAGTTTTCCATTAGATCTGCTCAATCATCCTGTCTGAGGTATATTCAGTGTTAATCATCTCGATGCCGCTAGCCCCACACAACTAATGGCTACCGTCATGTTATACACAGGAATACAGTTCAGTTCCATCTACATTTGTACAAGTAGGTGTATTTTCTGGTGTCTTAAGGCTAAGAACCATTTGCTTTTTTAATTGAGCTGAGCTGAGTTCTTGTGCACTTTTATTCTATTGTTAGAATTTTGCATCATGATGCTGAAAGGTTTTGGCCAAGGCCAGGTGATTTCCATACAAGACTAATGACAGTTGAAGTAACACGAGACAGGTGATTTCCATACAGGACTAATGACAGTTGAAGTAATACCAGACAGGTGATTTCCATACAAGACTAATGACAGTTGAAGTAATACCAGACAGGTGATACTTGAAGTAATACCAGGCAGGTGATAGTTGAAGTAATACCAGACAGGTGATAGTTGAAGTAATACCAGACAGGTGACAGTTGAAGTAATACCAGGCAGGTGACAGTTGAAGTAATACCAGACAGGTGACAGTTGAAGTAATACCAGACAGGTGATAGTTGAAGTAATACAAGTTAGGTGATAGTTGAAGTAATACCAGACAGTTGATACTTGAAGTAATACCAGACAGGTGATAGTTAAAGTAATACCAGACAGGTGATAGTTGAAGTAATACCAGACAGGGGACAGTTGAAGTAATACCAGACAGGTGACAGTTGAAGTAATACCAGACAGGTGATAGTTGAAGTAATACCAGACAGGTGATAGTTGAAGTAATACCAGACAGGTGATAGTTGAAGTAATACCAGACAGGTGACAGTTGAAGTAATACCAGACAGGTGATAGTTGAAGTAATACCAGACAGGTGATAGTTGAAGTAATACAAGTTAGGTGATACTTGAAGTAATACCAGACAGGTGATAGTTGAAGTAATACCAGCCACATGATACTTGAAGTAATACCAGACAGGTGATAGTCGAAGTAATACCAGACAGGTGATACTTGAAGTAATACCAGACAGGGGATAGTTGAAGTAATACCAGACAGGTGATAGTTGAGGTTTTACCAGACAGGGGATAGTTGAAGTAATACCAGACAGGTGATAGTTGAAGTCATACCAGACAGGTGATAGTTGAAGTCATACCAGACAGGTGATAGTTGAAGTAATACCAGACAGGTGATAGTTGAGGTAATACCAGACGGTTGATAGTTGAAGTAATACCAGACAGGTGATAGTTGAAGTAATACCAGACAGGTGACAGTTGAAGTAATACCAGACAGGTGATAGTTGAAGGAATACCAGACAGGTGATAGTTGAAGTAATACCAGACTGATGCTAGTTGAAGTAATACCAGACAGGTGATAGTTGAAGTCATACCAGACAGGTGATAGTTGAAGTCATACCAGACAGGTGATAGTTGAAGTAATACCAGACAGGTGATAGTCGAAGTAATACAAGACAGGTGAAAGTCGAAGTAATACCAGACAGGTGATAGTTGAATTAATACCAGACAGGTGATAGTTGAAGTAATACCAGCCACGTGGTAGTTGAGGTAATACCAGCCACGTGATAGTTGAAGTAATACAAGTTAGGTGATATTTGAAGTAATACCAGACAGGTGATGGTTGAAGTAACACCAGACAGGTGATAGTTGATGTAATACCAGACAGGTGATAGTTGAAGTAATACCAGACAACTGCTATCCTTGATCCTAGTTGAAGTAATACCAGACTGATGCTAGTTGAAGTAATACCAGACAGGTGATAGTCGAGGTAATACCAGACAGGTGATAGTGGGCTCCTGTTGGTCATATAGAAGGCTCCACATTCTTACTTCAAGTGGCTCCTGTTGGTCATATAGAAGGCTCCACATTCTTACTTCAAGTGGCTCCTGTGGGTCATATAGAAGGCTCCACATTCTTACTTCAAGTGGCTCCTGTTGGTCATATAGAAGGCTCCACATTCTTACTTCAAGTGGCTCCTGTGGGTCATATAGAAGGCTCCACATTCTTACTTCAAGTGGCTCCTGTGGGTCATATAGAAGGCTCCACATTCTTACTTCAAGTGGCTCCTGTTGGTCATAGAGAAGGCTCCACATTCTTACTTCAAGTGGCTCCTGTGGGTCATATAGAAGGCTCCACATTCTTACTTCAAGTGGCTCCTGTGGGTCATATAGAAGGCTCCACATTCTTACTTCAAGTGGCTCCTGTTAGTCATAGAGAAGGCTCCACATTCTTACTTCAAGTGGCTCCTGTTGGTCATATAGAAGGCTCCACATTCTTACTTCAATTGGCTCCTGTTAGTCATATAGAAGGCACCACATTCTTACTTCAAGTGGCTCCTGTTGGTCATATAGAAGGCTCCACATTCTTACTTCAAGTGGCTCCTGTGGGTCATATAGAAGGCTCCACATTCTTACTTCAAGTGGCTCCTGTTAGTCATATAGAAGGCACCACATTCTTACTTCAAGTGGCTCCTGTGGGTCATATAGAAGGCACCCCATTCTTACTTCAAGTGGCTCCTGTTGGTCATAGAGAAGGCTCCACATTCTTACTTCAAGTGGCTCCTGTGGGTCATATAGAAGGCTCCACATTCTTACTTCAAGTGGCTCCTGTTGGTCATATAGAAGGCTCCACATTCTTACTTCAAGTGGCTCCTGTTGGTCATATAGAAGGCTCCACATTCTTACTTCAACTGGCTCCTGTTGGTCATATAGAAGGCTCCACATTCTTATTTCAAGTGGCTCCTGTAAGTCATAGAGAAGGCACCACATTCTTACTTCAAGTGGCTCCTGTTGGTCATATAGAAGGCTCCACATTCTTACTTCAATTGGCTCCTGTGGGTCAAATAGAAGGCTCCACATTCTTATTTCAAGTGGCTCCTGTGGGTCATATAGAAGGCTCCACATTCTTACTCTAGCTGGCTCCTTTTGTTCACCTTCAGGGTCTCGTGGATAGAGTGTCTGCCTGGAGAGCAGAAGGTTGGTGTTTAGATCCCCTGGTTGTCATACCAACAAAATGGTACTTGTTGTTACCCTGCCTTTGGCGATCAGCATTAAGGAGATAAAACAAGGACTGGTTGGCTGAGAGTCAGTATACAGTGTCTGAGCGAGGTATCCATTTTATGGTCTCTCAGAACCCAAGCACTACAAAAGCAGCATTAGTCAGGAATATTTCAGATGGCGTTGAACTGTTTCCTGGTACAGAGTCGTGTTTATCTTTTGATATAGGATATATTTTCAGCTGCTGGTTAATTTACCGATTGAAATAGATGTTTTTCACAGCTCATCTTCATTATCATGCTATCGTTGTGATCAAGTTTCTGTCTACTGAAGCTACTTGCATCATTTAAGATACAGACTTCCAGAAAACACACCTTGACAAATGTTAAAGTGCATATACACCAGCAGAATATGAACCCAGCTTAAACAGTTTTCTTTCTGTCAGGGGTACAAGGTTGCATGCTGTAGAATTATTCTGTTTATTTTGAATGTGTTCCTAGACATTTCTGTGTTGTGTTGAAGCATGATATGTTTGACAAATGTGGCATCATATCTGATACTGCATCAGTGGCTGTATCTGTGGGGGCACCTGCAGTGATAGAGGGGAATATTATTCTGTATGCACCAACTTGTTCTCTGATTGCATTCCCGGATGCCAGGATTGTCTGGCATCAACCACCAGGACCTGTTGTCATGCCAACACAGTTCTGGTATTAATCAAACCATTTACGTAGATTTACCAAGAAAATTGTGGTATGTCATATTGACATGTGGTGATATAGAGACAGGCGACAATGTACAATTCATATTGATATGTGACATGAGATATGTGACAATACAGAGATGTGTGACAATACTGAGATATGTGACAATACAGAGATGTGTGACAATACAGAGATATGTGACAATACAGAGATATGTGACAATACAGAGATAAGTGACAATACTGAGATATGTGACAATACCAAGATATGTGACAATACAGAGATATGTGACAATACAGAGATATGTGACAATACTGAGATATGTGACAATACAGAGATATGTGACAATACAGAGATAAGTGACAATACAGAGATATGTGACAATACAGAGATAAGTGACAATACAGAGATATGTGACAATACAGAGATATGTGACAATACAGAGATATACTGAGATATGTGACAATACAGAGATATGTGACAATACAGAGATAAGTGACAATACTGAGATATGTGACAATATAGAGATGTGTGACAATACAGAGATATGTGACAATACAGAGATATGTGACAATACAGAGATATGTGACAATACAGAGATACATCTATATGACAGTTAAGATATATGTTGCTGTATGACAATATGAAAATGAGTCCATATTCTTTCTCAATAGGGGGCAGTGGGGTAGCCTAGTGGTTAAAGCGTTTTCTTATCACGCTGAAGACCTGGGTTCGATTCCCACATGGGTACAATGAGTGAAGCCCATTTCTGGTGTCCCCCATCCTGATATTAAAGGAATATTGCTAAAAGTGGCATAAAACCATACTAACTCAATCACTCGATTGTATCTCTTCGATTGTATCTTCCACAGTAGATCTTAAAACTGCTCCAACAGACTGGGATTCCTCTTTTTCCATATTTAATACTATTTTCATATCGCAGTGGGGGGCACGGGTGGCCCAGTCGTCTAAGGCGCCGCGATTCGCTGTGCAGAGTTGCGTCCCTTGGGCACGCCAGAAACCTATGATTGTGGGTTCGAATCCCGGTTCGCCCCGATTATGTTTCTAGGTTTGTCAGCACCATACCAGTGCTCGTGGGTTTCACCGAAGTGGTAAACGTCTGAGACCTGCATCACTTCAGGCTTTCCTCCCACATTAAGCTGACACGCCGTGATATAACTGGAATACTGTTAAAAGCGGCGTTAAACCCATCTCACTCACTCATATCACAGTGAATGTTCAATGTAAAGATAGCGACTATGCTTGTCCTAAGAGGCGACTTACAGGATCGGGTGGTTAGGCTCGCTGACTTGGTTGATGCATGTCATCGATCCCAATAGCATGGATTGATGCTCATGATGTCAATCACTGTCTGGTCCAGACCGCTGTCATATAGCTGGAATATTGCTGAGTGCGGCGTAAAAAAACAAACAAACAAACAATGTAAAGATGAAGACATCCAGCCTCATTGATTGCAGTGCTCCACTTATTATCACTAGTTACCCAAGCACAGGACATAGTGCTTGTGGTAGATACTGTAGAGACAGGTTCATGGCAGTTCTTGTGTTGCATCATGTTTATGTGTAGCCATTGTTGATTCTGGTTTCTATTCTGATAAATCTCTTTTTTTTTAATGTGATGGACAGGGTTTGTTAATGCCTGTCATGTTTGCATATCACAGGGTATAAAGGTGGTAGTTTATTTATTTTTCTTCTCATTTACCATATCAAATAGAACTATTACTGTCTTCTTTTACTTGGAGTGTAAGATTCCTAGAGGTGGTTTTGTGTTTTTGAATGTGATGGTAACCCTTCATTCAAGGGAGGGGGCACGGGTGGCCCAGTCGTCTAAGGCGCCGCGATTTGCTGTGCAGTGTTGCATCCCTTGGGCACGCCAGAAACCTATGATTGTGGGTTCGAATCCCAGTTCGCCCCGATTATGTTTCTAGGTTTGTCAGCACCATACCCGTGCTCGTGGGTTTCACCGAAGTGATAAACGTCTGAGACCTGCATCACTTCGGGCTTTCCTCCCACATTAAGCTGACACGCCGCGATATAACTGGAATACTGTTTAAAGCGGCGTTAAACCCAACTCACTCACTCATTCAAGGGAAATAATTGGGGCATCTTTTTGACAGCAGCTTATGAGCAAAGGATCACAGTTTACACTTTTTTACAACACTTCAACGGACAAAAGTTACAAAATTAGGGACATTATTAACCAATGTAAGACATATTCGCATTATATTTTTTATATACAACAAATATATATATATATATATCAAAGTGTTTAGATTCGATAAAGAGTGAGATAATTTGAGAGGTTTTTTTTGTTGTAGTTTTTTATGTTTGACTTTCTGGAAAAATTTACCTTAAAACTGATACAATTGATTAAAATTATCCATCCAATATCCCCATTTTGGTGTGAATTAAGTTCACAAAAAGGAGTCAACAATCCCAAATAATCAATACAGAATCAACTTGGCTGACTTCATAAAACCTGAAGTGGTTGTAGGGTAGCCTAATGGTTAAAGTGTCCACTCGTCACACCGAAGACCCGGGTTCGAATCTCCACATGGGTACAATGTGTAAAGCCCATTTCTGGTGTCCCCAGAAATAGTGCTGAAGGGGGCGTAAAACAATTCTCACTTACTCATAAAACCTGAATGTACCAATGAGCTACAGACTTCCCAGCAGATAACCACGCAGTGATGTGGTTCAGTGACGGTGTAGTTGTATGGCAGTGCGAACATGTTCATCTGTAGCATATTCATCTGTATCTGATAGTGCTGGGACGAGTCCAAATTTACTACTCGGGTACTCGACCCCCTATTACCCGACCCGACCCGGGTACCCAGTGCAGGTCCCAAGAGTTGGGAACAAGATGTCTGATTGGGAATTGTTTTACTGCAGCCATGGCAAAAAGTATTTAGATACACAGAGCTCCAGATAAGCTGCGTATCTGCGTAAAATACGCATCAGAAATGCAGAAATACACAGTAAAATATAATCCAAGCGTATCAAATACGCAACGAACATTACAGATACGCTACAAAAATAAAACTTGTGCGTATCATCAAAATATTGTGAAGTGACCCTGCGTATTCGATTAGCAAATCAGCAACTCCAGGATGACGGTTACATCATGATCATTTGCCATAACACTTTCTTGTGGAAGTATCGTGGTATTTTTGAGTCCTATAAAGCTCTCGAACCCACACGACATCAGTTTGCAGGGACTAGATGAATAGTGTTTTTAAATATTTAACTTAAATACCCACATGTGTAAAAACTAGTGGGTAACAGAAATTTGAATACACAGATAGAATTACTGATACACAATGATTTTAAAATGCATGGGTAAAATACCCACAACACCAAAAGCTTATCTGGAGCTCTGGATACATGTACCAAACGATCAGATCATGGTACACAGAAGTTGACTGAAGCTATATAATTACTCAAACATTTACAAGTCAAAAGGAATGTGTGCATTGTCAGAAAGAAATGCGAACATTAGCGATTTGTAGTGTCACCACTGAGCTATAGTGAGTTTTTGTCATTAAACAATATATCACATGACTAACCATGGGTCTGGGTAGTCCTGTGGGTACACGGGTTCTACTCAGGACCCACCCGACCCGAGTACCCGAGTTACCCGTCCCAGCCCTAGTATCTGATGATCAGTGTGATGGGGGTAGGTGGGTGTACTCAGTGGGATTATTCATTGAATGCAAGAAGTAGTTTAATGTGATTAAGATCTTAGTCCAAACGAAAATATTCCTATCTATTTTTATTGTGTTTGTATCATCTGAGTAGAGATATGATGGCGTGTGTGTGTGTGCAGTTTGTGAACTACGTGCCTGCACGGTAGCTTGTGGCTACTGTCTTCTCTTTCTGGTAAGCGATAGGACCTAGGCAGCAAGAATGGCTAACTTAATTTTCTATCTAGTGAGCTATAATATTGTTATTCGGCTGTCAAATATGAAATTTCAAAACGGGAAAGGAAGTTCCTTCCGACATGGTCAATAGATTTTAAATGGATGATTTCAAGGATGTTCTGTAACATTCATAGGCGGATCCAGATCCCCCGCTCTTCCCTTTTGAAAACCAAATGCAGTATAGTGTAGGCAGTAAAATTATCTGAGAGAGGATTTTGATATTTTGGACCCCTCTCTTTCAAAAATGCTGTATTCTCCCTTGACATTTGTAATGGTCTTTTGTCACAAGTTTGGCAAGTGACAAAAACCTGTATTATACTGACCCAGATAGAGGTTCCAATCTTGAAATAAATTTCATCTCTCTCTTATTTGTATTTGGTAGTGATCAACAGAACTGGCTGGTATTAAGGTATCTAGCTAGCTCAGCTGGATGGTACTGTTATTTTCTAACTTTTATAGATTTTGTTTGAATTTACATTTGATATGATTATATTGAATTGTTAGTTGTTGAATAAAATGTCTTAAAAATAATTTGTGTGTTTTAGTTTACTCTTTTGAAACAACAAGTGAATGTTGTTTTACTCTGTTGTGTTGTACAGTTACATCACAGCATTTCAGCTGGGTGAGTGAGTGAGTGAGTGAGTATGGCTTTACCCGCCTTTAGCACTATTCCAGCAATTTCATGGGAGGGGACGCCTGATATGGGCTTCACATATTGTACCCATGTTGAGAAATGAACCTGGGTCTTTGGCGTGACGAGCGAACGCTTTCACCACCAGGCTAACCCAAGGCCCCATTTAATGTGGAAGGGGGGCACAGGTGGCCCAGTCGTCTAAGGCACCACGATTCACTGTGCAGAGTTGCGTCCCTCGGGCACGCCAGAAACCTATGATTTTGGGTTCGAATCCCGGTTCGCCCCGATTATGTTTCTAGGTTTGTCAGCACCATACCCGTGCTCGTGAGTTTCACCGAAGTGATAAAGGTCTGAGACCTGCATCACTTCGGGCTTTCCTCCAACATTAAGCTGACACGCCGTGATATAGCTACAGTTAAAATACAGTTAAAAGTGGCGTTAAACCCAACTCACTCACTCACTAATGTGGAAGGAAAGCCTGAAGTGATGTAACATTTCAGTTATATCACAGCATTTCAGCTTGACGTGAGTCTTCAAGGTTTTACCACTTTGGTGAAATCAACAAGTATGACCAGGAAGAATATACATGGTGTGTAGACACATTGAGGAAATATGATTAACGATGGTAAAAACACAACTATGAGCCAGGAGCAGACATAACAAGAACAGAAGTATCCTCGTATCTTAGCGACTACATCATGTCTGACAAATAGCTCGACCGCAAATGTTGAGTTGTTTATGTTCTTGTTGACAAATGTAAATATTATTGCATCTTGATCCTGAATCAGTTCTGTTCACCACATTGTCAGGCCGCACAAAACAACAGGCAATCAATCCACGTCATGCCCAAATGTTTGTAATGCTCTGGCGTTTCTGACAAGTATTTTGTTTAGAATACCATAATGTGAAGTACAGTTCTCTTCCAAAAACATCAAAAGGTATCACAAGGGCCACATTGCCAACACCATCAACACAGCACCACATTGCCCACATCAACACACAGCACCACATTGCCAACACCATCAACACAGCACCACATTGCCCACAACAACACACAGCACCACATTGCCAACACCATCAACACAGCACCACATTGCCCACATCATCAACACATAGCACCACATTGCCCACATCATCAACACACAGCACCACATTGCCCACATCAACACATAGCACCACATTGCCAACACCATCAACACATAGCACCACATTGCCCACATCATCAACACATAGCACCACATTGCCCACATCATCAACACATAACACCACAGTGCCCACATCATCAACACATGACACCACATTGCCCACATCATCAACACATAGCACCACATTGCCCACACCATCAACACATAGCACCACATTGCCCACACCATCAACACATAGCACCACATTGCCCACACCATCAACACATAGCACCACAGTGCCCACATCAACACATAGCACCACATTGCCCACACCATCAACACAT